TAAGGAAGCAGAGAGAGAAATCAGAGAAGCTTCATCTTTCATGAGAGCCACAAATAGCATAAAATATCTTGGTGTAACTCTAACCAAGGATCTGAAGGACCTATTTGACAAGAATTTTAAGTCTTTGAAGAAAGAAATTGAGGAGGATACCAGAAAATGGAAGGACCTCCCTTGCTCTTGGATTGGGGGGATCAACATAGTAAAAGTGGCAATTCTACCAAGGGTAATTTATAAATTCAATGCTATCCCCATTAAAATCCCATCGAAATTTTACACAGACCTTGAGAGGACATTAATCAACTTTATCTGATAACACAAAGAACCCAGGATAGTCAAAACAATCTTATACAATAAAGGAACTTCTGGAGACATTACGATCCCTGACTTCAAACTCTATTACAGAGCTTCAGTAATGAAAACACTTTGGTATTGGCACAAAAACAGAGAAGTTGATCAATGGACTAGAGTAGAAGACCTGGATTTTATCCCACAAACCTATGAACACCCGATATTTGATAATGGAGCTAAAACTATTCAATGGAAGAAAGAAAGCATCTTCAACAAATGGTGCTGGCAGATCTGGTTGTCAACTTGTAGAAAAATGAAAATAGATCTATATCTATCACCATGGACAAAAACCTATTCCAAATGGATTAAAGACCTCAATATCAGGCTGAACACATTGAACCTGATAGAAGAGAATTTGGGAAGTACTCTACAACATATGGGCACAAGAGATCACTTCCTAGGCATATCCCCAGCAGCACAGACATTAAGGACAACATTGAATAAATGGGACCTCCTAAAACTGAGAAGCTTCTGTAAAGCAAAGGACACTGTCAGTAAGACAAGAAGGCAACCCACTGACTGGGAGAAGATCTTCTCCAAATAGCAAGAGATAAATGTCTTATCTCTAAAATATATAAAAATCTCAAGAAACTAGACTTTAAAATGCTAATAAACACAATTAAAAATGGGCCACTGAACTGAAAGGAGAATTCCAAACAAAAGAAGTTCAGATGGCCAAAAAACAATCAAGGTCATGTTCATCCTCCTTGGTGATCAGGGAAATGCAAATTACAACAAATTTGAGATGTCATCTTACACCTGTCAGAATGGCTAAAATCTAAAAGACAAATGATAGCATTTACTGGAGAGGTTGTGGAGTAAGGGGCACACTCGTCCATTGCTGGTGGGAATGCAAACATGTGCAACCACTTTGGAAATCTGTGTTGCGATTTCTCAGGAAATTTGGGATCAACCTACACCAAGATCCAGTAATACCACTCTTGAGACATGCCCTATCATATGTCAAAAGAATTTCTTCAACTATGTTCATAGCATCATTATTTGTAATAGCCAGGACCTGGAAACAACCTAGTTGCCCTTCAATGGAAGAATGGATGAAGAGAGTGTGGAATATATACATATTAGAGTACTACTCAGCGGCAAAAAAAAAATGATTTCGCAAATTTTGCATGAGAATGGATGGAAATAGAAAACACTATCTTGAGTGAGGTATACCAGACGCAAAAAGATGAACATGGGATGTACTCACTCAAAATTGGTTTCTAGCCATAAATTAAGGACATTGAGCATATAATTTATGATCCTAGAGTAGCTAAATAAGAACGTGACCCCCCCCCCAAAAAAAGGACATATAGTCATCTGCCTGGATATGGGAAGTAGACAAGATTGCAGGGCAAAACCTGGGATCTTGTGGGAGAGGTGGCTTGGGGCTAAGGGGATAAGGAGTAAGAAATGTGAGAAGGGGAGAATGGGGGGAACATGGGGGAATGGGATGGTTGGGATAAAGGAAGGGTGGACACTGGAGCATAGAAATTTATATCCTAATTAAGGGAGCCATCTTAGGGTTGGCAAAAGACTTGACTCTAGAGGGGTTCACAGGTGTCACGGGAGATGTCCCTAGAAACTGAGGAGAGGGAACCTGAAATGACACTATTCTATAGTCATACTGATGTATATCTTGCATATCTCCTTAGAGCCTTCATCTGGCGATGGATCGAGATATAGACAGAGACCCAAATTGGAGCACTGGACTGAGCTGAAGATCCCAAGGCCAGCTGGACTGTGACTGAAAAAGCATGGGATAAAAGTGGACTCTCTGAATATGGTGGACAATAGGGCTGCTGAGAAGCCAAGGACAATGTCTCTGGGTTTTGATCCTACTTCATGTTCTGACTTTTTGGGAGCCTAGCCATTATGGATGTTCATCATCCTAGGCCAGGATGGAAGGGGGAGATCTTTGGACTTTCCACAGAGCAGAAACCCTGACTGCTCTTCAGTCTGGAGAGGGAGAGGGAGAGCAGTGCAGGGGAGGGGAAGAAGGGTGGGAGGATGGTGAGGGAAATGGGAGGCTGGAAAAAGGCAGAATTTTTTTTTCAATTAAAAAATAATATCCAAACAGGAGCAGAAGGAGAGAGAACATGAGCAAGGAAGTCAGGACAATGAGGGGTGCACCCACCCACTATGACATTGGAAATGATCTATTGGGAGCTCACCATGGCCAGCAGGACTGGGACTGAATAGCATGGGATGAAACCGGACTTTCTGAATCTGACAGAGAATGAAGGCTGATAAGAAGCCAAGAACATTGGCAATAGGTTACGATTCTAATACATGAACTGGCTTTGTGGGAGCCTAGCCTATTTGGATGCTCACTTTCCTGGTCCTTGATAGAAGTAGGAGAACCTTGGACTTCTGGCAGGTCAGAGAATTTGGACTTCTCTTAATTCTTGAGAGGGAGGGGGAATGGTGTGGGGGGAGGTGATAGGGTTATGCGAGTGAAGGAAGGGGGTAATGTGTGCAAGAAGGGGGAGGGAAATGGAAAACGGCAAGGAGGTGGAAATTTTTTTTTGCAACAACTAAAAAAATACAATAAAAAAATGATGGAGAAGGAACTAGAGTTGCTTGTGTTAGAGAGGAAAGTCCTTGAGTCATTGGTGTTGGTGGCAATGTGTTTGTAATCATTGGGACAAATGGAGACATTCCCAAATCCTCTGGTATAGAAGACAGATTTCTATGTATGCACTGGTCAATCTTATATAGTCCCAACTATATATATGCTGTCTCTTGTAGTGATTGTTGATTATATGATGAATAAGGTAGAGCTCCCTGTGTAGATATGTAAAGTTGGTCCTATAGAAAATGTGCAAGATCTTTGGATGTTGATAAAAAAGACTCATGGGATCTGGTGCCATGCTGTAAATGTCCTGTATTTCCAGAAGGAAATCCATGGCCCTGTAGGCCCTTTGAAAAAATGGTGATAAATCTGTGAAAACAAATGTCCTAACTTCTTTTGGAAAGATTCTGGTGGACCCAGAATTAATGTGGAAGATGCTCAATATTCTACAGTTCCTGATCTTGATGAGAAAGAACTCAGTGTATTTTGGAGAGACATAGAATTTTCCCAATGCCTTTGATAACACATGCAAGTTGGTTGATTCCTTAGAGTTGTTTGAAGAGTTAAATGTGCATCTGGTGAGTTCGTTTAAATATCTGCCCTACCATATCTGGAATACACTGATGCCTTGCATTGATCATGTTCTGTGGGACTTGGGCTATAAAACTCATGAACAGTCTCACTGGCACACAGGATGAACATGTACACATTGATGCACACTGCTGTGTGATATGAACACTTATGGTGAATGCATGCGATCTCCATAAAATCAGTTAACTAGGGAATCTGTGATGTTAGGGGAATGTGGCAAAGACCCAACAAACCCATTAGACCCCAAAATACCAGTGTTATATTGATGCCTGCCTCCTATCATGCAAGGATCCCGCCCTCTTGTAATGGGGCAATTTTTGGTTCCTTCATCTTCACAAACTTTGTTGAAAAGTTGGAGGTATCAAACTGCCAGTCAGCATTCAGCATATAGATCAGCTCCTGGGCTCCACAACTGTTCAACAGGATTAGGCAGCTGAACATTTCCAAAAGATGGAATATGGAGAGCCAAGACATTTTCTTTTGGTAAATATGTTTAGGTAGCAAGTGGGACCTCTGTAGTCCCAGAAAGGTTTCCATCAAATCTCCCTTGAGTCTAAAATTTTTGTTGTTAACAGCTTCTATATTTGATAGCTGTGGGGATGGTGAATGCCAGGTATTCTACCCACTTTATCTTTGCTATCATTGTCCAATTCATCAGTCCACTAAAGTGGCAAAGATCCTCTTTGTCCATATGTGTTTTAAAACATATTATTTCTAAATGGTGCTGTTGCCCAGATTAATGAGTCTATATTTTTGCAGTTTGTCTCACAAAACTCACTTTTCTTATGAAAACACAGAATGACTTTATGTAATAAACCTGGCTCTGGATCAGGAGACACAATACAGAGAGCCAGTGGACTGGAGTGCCATGACCTTGGGCAGGTGGTTTTGGATCAACCACGTAACCAAGAGCTTGAGTGGGAAGGAGAGAAGTGGCTCTCCTTCAAATTCTTTGCCATCTGTTCAGATTTTTCTTTCTCACTTTGGGGATAGGCATACAGTCTCCTCTCATTGACACAGTCAGTCAGGAATTAGATTTCTCAGTAGAGGTCCATTGCCTTTGGGCAGCAGGAATGTGTCTCTGATAAATATATACTGAGCTGTAGACAATAGTTTGATAATTTTCATATATAATTTATTAAGACCAAATTACATTTAGTCAGCCAACATCTATTCAGCACTGCCTTTGTCACCTTCCCCAAACATTTTCCAGAAAAGAGTCTTAACCTCGCATCCTCCCCTTCTTATCCTTGCAGGCACTTATGGTGGAGGAAACCACTTTGTGTCTGATTGAAACTGAAGAATTCTTCCAATGCAGAGATTGGCAGCTATGAAGACCAAGCACAGAAAGAGAGCCAAGAGACAGTGGAACAGGAGTGCTGTGGCCTATCTCAGTAAGTTTACTGTCATGATAAAGATGACTCTTAGCATGAGATGCATGTCACCTCTCCAGTGGGCCATCTCTCCAGAAGAAAAACTGACTAAGCCTTTTGAGGCCCTGGAGAAAATTGTTGGCCTCAGAATTTTTCATGGCTGGAAGGAAGCCAATGAACCAGTCACCCAGTGGAAAGCCATCATTCTAGATCAACTGCCAACATATCCCTCTCTCTATTTGTTGAAATATGATGGGATTGATTGTGTCTATGGCTTGGAGCTTCAGAGCGATGAAAGGATTTTAAACCTTAAGATCCTGCCTAATAATGTGCCATTTCCTCAGGTGACAGTCACTCATCTGTCAAACACCATAGTTGGCAGAGCAGTGAAACATACATTCACGGGCACAAATGGCTCTAAGGAAGACTGGAATGGGATGGTCCTAGAGGAGGTGCCAATCATGAAGATCTGGTTCTATATTACCTACAAGAAAGATCCTGTCTTGTACATTTACCACCTCCTGGATGACTACCTTGAGGCAACCTCCACATCATGCCAGGCTCTAAGGAGGAGTGCAGTGTCATGGTCCCAGATGAGGTGCAGACCATGATGACCTGTTTCTACATTGTTATCGAGAGTGATCCAGTCCTGTACCTTTACCACCGTCTTGATGACTCCATTGAAGGCAACGTCCACATCATGCCTGAATATCCTCCAGTAGAGGTGACTTTGGAATTAGGAAGGGATTCCTTGGCAGGCAAAAGTGTGCAGTACAACAAGAAAGATGGAACCCAAGAGATAGGTAAAATTATTTGCCAAGTTCCCACCAAACCTTCTGTGTATTTCATCAAGTTTGATAATGACATCCATATCTATGTCTATAATTTGGTGAAGAACTGTTAAAGTGAAATTCTCAAATTTTGAGGGGCACACTTAAAACTGTGTTTGGGGAATGTGTTTTTTTCAGAGATACCTCAGGTCTTCTATTAATCCCGGTATTTTTTCCAATGGAATATTCTTGCTCGAAAAATAAAAATTTGTGAACATGTTGTGTTCTTTGGTCAATGATGGATTGTGTTTGGTGGATGGGACATCACAGAAATACATGCCTCAAAACAAAGCAGGATTTATGGTCTTTTCTCCTTGGAGTGCATGGACTGGGGATGCTTGGTGTGGTAAAGGACAAGATGGCTATCTAGGAAGTAGTGGAGAGGGACAAAAAGTTGTAGGATCTCGGGGCGGGATAAATCTTGAGGGAAAATCATTTCAAATGGAAAGATGTGACAGATATCAGAGTGAGGTATTGGGACTTAAGATGATAAAGAGTAGATTTATCAGGAAGGGACACAAATATATGCTCAAAATCAGAGAAAATTAGGTTTCATTTTATGAATAGTTTAATTCGTACTGGCTGTAAGTCACTGGATGTTTGATCTCCGCTGGATCATGTTGAGTGACCAGGAGCCTCCTGTTAGAAAAAAGTGTCTCCTCCCATTTGCTCTTTTGCAGTGGGATGGACGTCAAGCTACCTACTTCCTTTTGCCAGAATTCTGTCTGCCACCTACTTTGTCATGCCTGGATTCGGTATGCCTTGAACTCTCATTGGTCTTATGCATGCCATCCCACCCTTGTGAGTTCATTTAAATAATTGCCCTGCCATATGTGGAAAACAGTGTTCCCTGTCATTGATCATGTTCTGTAGGACTTGGGCTATAAAACTCATCAACAGATGCACCCACACACATGATAAACATGTACACATTGATGCCCACTAATGTGTGACAGGCACACATATGATGAATGCACCGAACTCCATAAAATCAGTGAACTAGGGAATCCCTGATGCTAGGTGGAGTGTGGCAAAGACCCACAAACCCATCAGACCCCCAAATACCAGTATGGTATTGTTGTCTGACTCCCATCACGTAAGAATCCTGCCACACTCTAATGGGCGATTTTTACTTCCTTCATCTTCACAAACTTGGTTAAAATTTTAGAGTTGTCAAACTGACATTTAGGGTCCAGCATGTAGATCAGCTGTCCCAGGTCAGGTGATTTGGCTACAATTTGGGTGAGAACTTGTACCGGGGCATTCTGGTACGCCCTCACCTCTTCTTCTCCCAGTCCTCATCATCACTCTTGTGGCTGGGCTTGGAGCACAAAGAAGGCAAAATGGAAGAAGCCTCCTCCTCAGTGGAAAACATTGTCAATCCTTCATTTGCCCTGACTCTCAGAGGGAATGCAGCACATTTTATCCTTCTAGGTCTCCTCATTCATTGGTTCACTCATTTTTCCAATGAATAATTGAATTCATCCATTCTTCCATGTCTCTCTCTCTCTCTTCTTCCTTTCCTTCTTTCATTTCCTCCTTTATAGTAGTAATTTGAACAGCAGTGCTATGTCCCCAGCAACATGGCCACCTCGCTAGCTTATGCCCTGAAATAACAGCACAAAAACTGTGTTCTTATAAACACTGCCTGGCCCATTATTTTCAGCCTCTTAACCCATTTCTAATAATGTTAGTTGCAGCACGAGGTGTTCTTACTGGGAAAGTTTCAGCATGTTTATCCTGGTGGCTGGCTGCATTGCCTTCTGCCTCAGAGAGCAGAGCTACCGTGTCTGCCCGGGAGAAGGGAGCATTGCGTCTCTGACCTCAATTCCTCTTCCTCCCAGTATTCTGTTATGTTTACTCCACCCACCAATGTTCTAACCTATCAGGGAAAACAGTTTCTTTATTTAATTTATCAATGACCTATCCTCCTTCATTTCCCCTATTTCTGTTTAAGCAAGAATAAAATCTTTAACTTTAAAATAGCAAAATTACACATAACAAAACAGTTCTCTAGCAAGAATTAAAGTTACAATATTTATATCTATTTTATCTTTTCTCATAACAATGGAAAACTATAACTATCTCTATTCTTCAACTCCATCAAAGACCCCAGAAGAAAACAATATTACCTAAGCAAACAAAATGTAAGTCATTTTCAAACTCTAGAAATGACAAGACATCTCACTGCCTAGACAGTCACCCAAAATTCCTCTGTACCGTTGGGGTATCCATCTTCAGCCTACAGCCCCATAGTTTCCAGGAGATATTTCCATGAAGCAGGAAATTTCAAAGGCAGTCACTATCTGCTTGTCTTGAATATTGTCTTGCAGACTCTTTCATAAATCATTGACACCAAAAGATCATCTCACCTTTAGGCAAGTTCAGTAGTCCTCTCTCTGCGTGTTCTCTGTGTCCAGTTTATGCAATCGTCCAGACAACGGCAGTTTTTTGCCCAAATGGCTATCAAACTCCAGAAGGATCCTCTTCGATGCCCATCCTCTTCCTGAACTCGATTCGTGCTGCCAGGAGCAGAGTGTCTCATTGTCACGAAAAACCCTAAGGTATTAAAACACTAAATAGCATATTTCTTAGTTTTGAAAAATATGAAAAATGCCTATGAAAATGAAATATATATCTATATAGCTAGAAAATCTAACTAACACGACTACAAACTTGAATATTATTAATGGTTATCCATTAACAACCTATATACATTACATTTTTAAATGAACTACACAATCACAATACCTTAATAAAGATAAAAAATGCATATACATAAAACAAAATTGACCTTAAATCACTATCAATAAAGCAAATCTATACTAATGGAAATTATTCATATCTATATTACATGTCACTTTAAATGTAAAAGAATGTTTATAAACCATATTTGGGAAAATGGGTGCAGTTTTTTCTCTCCAAACTGCTTCCTGCTGAATGGGGGCGTCATTAATTAGGTGTTTCATGGCATAACCTATGTGCTTGTATCCTCTCAGTTGGTAGTTGAGCGAAACAATGTTTTGAAGGTGTTCACAGCAACCTTACAGGAGGGTGTGGTCCATCATACCATATTGGGATAGAGTCAATTCACAGACTCTCACCCTCTGTGAAAACAAAATAAGAAACTCCTTTCCAAAGCATCATGTCCTTAGATCCAAATTTCTAAGCCAAGGCATTTTCAAAATATCTATGTTGGATTAGTTCAGCAGCATTTATAAACAAATATCTTTTAGCAGCTATTGCTCCTTCCTCAGAATTCAAACGATTCAAACAGATCATAATACCATACTATATGAAAATTCTCTGTGTACTTTCCATCTTTGTGAGCTTCAATTTAAGCTCTATTTTGTTTACTTTTTCTTTTCATTTTTTTGCCTTTTGAGACAGGTTCTCTGTGTATTTCACCTGGAATAAAACTCTGTAGATCAGGCTGTCCTTTAAGTCTCATAGATCCACCTGTGTCTTCCTCCCAGGCATTGGGATTAAAGGTGTATGCTCCTACACGTTGAACTCACAGATATCTGTTTGTCCCTGCCTTCTAACACTGGGAATAAAGGCGTGTGCTACCACACCTTGAAGTTAAAGAGGTCAATCTCCCTCTGCCTCCCAAGTTATGGGATTAAAGGTGTATACTACCACACCCAACAACTCTCTTCTTTTTTTTTAACTTTAAAACTTCAACTTTTAGCCTGCACATATTTTTTACACACTGTAAATCATAAAAAATTTTTCTTTGTCTTTGAATCTCTCTTTACTCTATATCTCTCTCTGTTTCTCTGACCACAGGAGTCTTTAATTTACCAAGCAATCTCCGCAGGACTAAAGCCATGGCTTTGTGTGCTAGATGTAGCCCATTCCTTAGCTTTCTGCCATTGCAAACTTGTGGCTGAGGTACCAGCCTGAGCCGCATTCAGTGCCACAAGTCTACAGTGTTTCAAGGTCCTTGCCATCAAACAAGCTGCAACAGACAACACTCAAGCCCTCTCTCTGTAGCTGGCCCTCCTGCCTCAAACAGTCAGAATTTGCCCTTGCAGGACAGCCCAGAAATCCAGCATTTTAAAACAACACAGTTTTTTTTTTCCTGCTACTGAAAACAAACAGGAATTCAGTTGACTTTTATCAACACCATTTAAATGTTTCATAGCAGGACCTCTTAAGAGCTGCTGGGTTTTGCAGCTGAAGCTGAGTCAGAAAGCCTCTTTTAGATGAGAGTGCTTGCTTGCTTCTAGCAAGCAAAGCAGACCCGAGAAATCGCTGCTACCAAGAAAACATGCTTTAGTCTTTGACAAGCTTTCTCAGGCTTTCAGTGAGTCTGTGACTCAGTTTCTTCATCTGATTTAGGTCAATCCACATATTCGAAGTGTTGTATAGGTCTGTGCATATTCATCAATGTAAGTGATGTAGGATGCCCTTGTATATGTGTTTTTCTTTCCTGGTTAATGAATAAATCTGCTTTGACCTATGGCAGGGTGGAATTCAGTCAGGCTAGAAGGGATATATAAAGAGATTAGGTGGCTGCTGAGGTAGAAGTATACCAGAATTTTCCTGTAGGCCTCAGCCATACGGTGATACAAAGATTAACAGAAATGTGTTAAGATGTAAGAGTTAGCTAAAAAGAAGAGTGAGTTAATAGGTTAAGTGATATTATAATTTTCTGTGTAATTATTTAGGTTGGGGCAGTTGGGAAACATAAAGGCAGTCTTCATTTACATGATTGACATGAACATTTTGCATTTCTGACTGGTACATTTTAGGCAGAGTCCATGATTATTAGTTTTAGCTTTTTATATTTTTCCCTCTACCTAAAGTCTTGTGAGGTCCCATGATTATGAAAGTGTTTCCCTAGCAGTCGTAGACCCTGGGATTGACACTAAGCTAATATGAGTCCAATGGTCAAGTTAAATGTGTCCATGGAAGCAGGGGGATGCTCTAAGGCTTCCCAGGGTCAGTGGCTAGATCTGAATCTCATTTTATACTAAGTGAATGATTTGAAATCCCTTTGATCAGGGAATCCAATTCTGACATGTTATTCATCACCGTGGACTATTCCAGACACCCTATGGAGAAAATG